GATTTTGTTAACTGTGGTAAGGGGTGCTGGTAATTGTAGGTTGGAAGTTCATGGTTAGAAGAGAGATTAGGAGAAGATGTTTGTGGTTGGGGTGAAATAAGACGTTTAGGATTGGAAGAATGTGGCAACTGGCAACTGAAGTATTCAAAGGCTTAAATCTGAAAGGGACTATGATTTTCACACCTTTTGTGAAGTGAAAAACGCTCGTTGATTTGGTAGATAAGGAGCTGGAGTTAGGAGCGACAGATATTAGTTCAGACAATGGTAATATTCTAGTTTCAAGATGGTCTCCGTTGTCCAATGCGAAGTTTTACATGGAAGATAATGAAATCTATCGAACTATAGGGCTCCCATTCAATCTGTTGAAACAAGAAACATTCTCCTCCATTGTGTTGATCTGTGGAGGTTGTTTGGATGGAACTTTCACTTGTGACCATTCCACAACAATTCTTCTTAATGGGGTGAAGCTGGAGGAGATACCAAGGAAGGTAGAAGTGGTAGTCAATAAGTTTTACCACTCAGTTTGGTTGGTGATCTCTATTGAATTGTCTCTCTAATTGGAGGCTCACAAAGAGGAAACATGGGGTGGAATAAGATTGGTTACATGGCAGAAAGAGATTGGATTATTTCAAAATCTTTGCAAAGTTACCAAAGGAGGAGCTAAAACAAGGTATAATAAAGGTAAGGGGTGGAAGAAGATTGGTTATGTGGCAGTAAGAGATTGGATTATTTCAAAATCTTTGTATAGTTACCAAAGGAGGAGGCGCTAAGATGAGGTTGTTTGCCTAGCAAAGGGAGAAGGGTTAGCTTGTGATGGGTATTTGCTCAGATTGCTACCAATGGCAGAAGATCTCTGTCAGGTGTGCAAGAGTTTGAATGTCTTTAAGAGAATTTCAAAAGGTCTGGGAAGAGACTTCCAGTCGACCTGAGTTGATGGTATTGAACAAGGGGTTATGAGCCAGTAGGTATGTCCTTAAGTGATCACGTGAGGAGGAAATTAAATGGGCCTATCTCAAGTTTAGTGGGCCTTATCTGATTGGGCTTTCTTTTGAGAGGCTGTTCGAGAAGTCATGTGGTGACTGGTGACTAATTGGGTCATGTGAGGGGAAGTTAAGAGAGGTGATGATAGACTAAAGGCTCCATCTATCATTGTCTACCTCTAAAAGGTTGAAAAACTCTGGTATACTTCAGAAGAATATATAGATATAGCAGTTGATCAAATGTTGGGGCAAACAAAAAAGGCTACATTCAAATGTTTTGAGGGAGAGGAAGAGGGTGATTTTTAAGAATCATTTTTTAAGGAAAATATTCAAGATTTGGTAAAGGTAAAACAGAAGTATGGGAATGGGTGATTACCAAATTTTCAAGGGAAGTGGGTGAGAGCTGCTTGAGAAGTGACACCAAGTCTATGGAGTTGAGGGCTAGTTCATCTTCAGAGGAGAAGTCATGTGAACATGTAGGCAAGGGGAAATCATCTCCGGAAGTTACAGGATCTATGAATGAAAATGGTGAGGAAGGGAAAGAGAATTCTAGTGTAGAAGAACAAGCAAGTCTGGTATTATCTGAATTCAGGGGAGGGGTTGCAATAATAGAGGACAAACAAATGCCAGTATTAGAAGACTCTAATGCACAACAACTTTGTCTTACTAGTGATAGGATAGTGGACGTGCTTTTAGTTTCAAGGTTTGAAAAGCAAGATTGCAATGCAATTGAGTCTGGGGGTAAGGAGGTAGCTCTGCAAACAATCTTTCTTGGGAGGAGCTAGTGATGGCTTCAGGTGAGATTGAATTTTCAGCCTTGAAGATTGGAGGTAGTGAGATGATTGTGGGAAAAGAAGAGCTCAAGTTTACTACAGTAGTTGAAAATTCATAAGGGGATCTGGGCTTAATGGATCAATCTTTAGTCACCCAGGTGTTTATTGAAAAATTGGGATGGGTTTAGGGAGGAAAGGATATGTAAGTTTGCTTGATAAGAACAGTAAAAGTGTTGGGGCTTCGGTTAGTTTGGAAAAATCCCACATGTTCAAACAATGGACAATTAGTTCATGTTTCTAAAGTATTTCATCATTTGAAAGGTCTCTTTAGAGATGGTCCTTGCAATAAGTTCAAGAGGATTTATAAGAGGAAGGGAAGGAAGTCCAGGAATAAAAGGCAGAGCTCAACTAGAAGCTGTAGTACTCTGGCTACATTGAGGATTGTGGTGAGAAAAAAAGGATATGGGATCTTATATTGAAGCTCAAAAAGAAGATGTTGTGCAGAGAGAAGAGGAGATGTCGGGACAAGAGGATGATTTAGAGGAAAACAAGACTGAAGAGGAGAAGAAAGATGAGGAGGTAATTGTTGATAAAAAGGGAAAATAGAAGAAAATGTGGATTTGGAAAAGATAGTGGAAACTGAAGTCCAAGCAAGCGAGTTATTAGGTGTTAGACAGTTTTGTATGCCCTTAGCTTCAATCAGAATGATGTACTTTATGAGTTTATTGTAAATGAATAAAGATACATATTTGATTCAT